GGCCAAAAAAAACACCGACCGGCGGCATTTCCCCGGGGTGATTAGTGTCTGAGGTGGTCGCAGGCACTTTATGGAGCCAGGCAATGCAGCACGCCCGTCCCGCGCCCCCCGCAAAGCACCACAAAATTCAGGCACCCGGGGTACCCCTCCCCAGGCCCTGGCCACATTTCCCGGAGGTTATCAAGCGGAGAATTCTGCAGTGGAGTTAGAGCAGAACGAATGTGCCGGGAGGTAAGAGGAAAACCCTTCCTTGCTCGCCCTAGGGGTATGTGCTGCGAAGAGGGAGGCGCAGAAGTGAGCAAGGCTTCTCCGGAGAGTCATTTCTGACAACTTCTTAAAAGCCTCCAGTTCGCAAAGCGGATGCCTCTTCCCCGCCCCGGAAGGATGCCCGGGCCCCTCCCCGGATGACCACCGGGTCAGCGATTCCCGAGGCTCAGGCTTTTCCGCGGGTCACCCGCGTGCGGCCAGGCTCTCGAGCCCTCAGGGAAGTGACGAGAGCGCCAGCCGCAGCGCTCGGGCTTGTTAACTGCCCTTACCCTGGAGGGGTCGTGGCGTTGGGGCAGAAGTGCCCGGGCAGCACTATGGTGCTCGCTGTGGGGAGGCTGGAGCTTGAGGGCGCAGCGTGAAGGCGAGCCCCACTCACTCGCTCAGTACCCGCCAGCCTTTCTGGCTCCCAAAGTTTCTGCAGCCCAAAGGGGCCGAAAGGGCCCCAGACGCCGTAGGGCACCGGTAATCCAGGCTCTCTTCGCCTTGCTCCCCGAAACATTTCCCATGCGCCCCGATGCGTTTGGTCCCGTCCACTCTTTGACCCCTCTCCACTAGGGAGCCCATACTCTGCTCACCCAGGCCCACCTGACTTCAGCCTGGGGCAAACCATCCACATTTAGAAACTTGCGCTACTGGGGGACTGGAGGGGCGTACCCCCCGGAGCAGCTAGGAGGCAGAACCGTGCCCAGGCGCGCCCGGCGCGGACACCCAACATGCACCCTCACCCTGCGGACGGGTGTCCAGCCTACATACATGAGCGCAGGGCGCGGGCCGGACGCCGGGCTCGCAGCGGGCGCTGGGGAAGCAGCGGCGGGCGATGCCCCTGGACGTCAGTGCCCATCCTCCTGCGGACCAGAGACCCGCGCGGGGCGGACCGCGGAGAGCGCAGCCCCACCTGCGCGCTCCGCCCGGCGCGTGCTCTGGACTAGGGCGTCTCCTGGGGCTTGCTCATCGCTCTGCCAGCTGCCCGTGGTCGCGGCCCCAACTTGCGTTAGTGCCGGCGCCTCTTTCCGCCGCTCATCCCCAGGTCTGGTCCCTGAGTCTCCAAGCAAATCGCGCCCCGGGGACGGCCAGGGCTCCTCCTCGCTCCTCTCCGCTAGCGGGTGGGCTCGCTCGGGAGGCC